GTTACTGAATTGAAATCAAAATTTTTTTTTATTCCAACTTAAATACACTATTGATGTGAATTTTTTTCATTTATCAAAATATCGATGATAATGATGATTATGATAATGATCAACATCATTATAAACAATGTAATATTTAGCGTTTTTCCCTATGTGCGTACAGATTTTTTGTCGAAAAAACATTAAACTACACTGCCATTATCATAATACGAATTTTTTAAAAAAAAATTGGTAAAGAAAAACACACACACACACAACGATTCTATTAACGAATTTACCCCGAAATCAATAAGGTAGAATAACAAAAACGACCACAATAAATTTCGATTAATCCATCATCGTAAATGGTCAAGGCATTCACATTCATGTTTCATTTCGTTGAGACAATAATTAAAAATTCTATAAATGCTTTTTCAATTTCATCAAAACTAATTTCTTTTTTTAAATTGATTTTTCGACGATATTTCCGTTTTTAATGACTTTTATTTAATAATAATTTTTGAAAAAATCAAACCATCATCAATCGATTGAACAAACAACAACATCAAAAAAAATCCATTTAAATTTATATTAAACAACAAAAAATAAAAAAATAAATCAGAAAAATATGGTAAGTATTCATTTTTTTCATTGTAATGGATATGTAAATTTCAATTTATTTTTGTTCGTGTGTGGGAATGATGATTACTATAGTTTTAAATGTAAAATCAAAATTTTTTCCCTTCCCTCTCGATTGAAAGCAGTCAAATTGATTGTATAATTTCATAAATGAAAATTTCGAATAATGTAAATTAATTGAAAATGAGATTTTTTTTTGTAAAAAAACTAATGAAATAGTGGATTCTGTATAAAAATGAAGCCACTCAAGAATTTGTTGTTGCAATATGTGTGCAAAAAAAGACATTTTCCACTTAAAGTTAAGCGACAAAACACTCATTTTCAATAAAGATGCTAAAAAAAATCGAATCGATTATTCGAACTGCTTAAAAACTCACATAGTATAAAAATGCATTAAAAAATGAAAGAATAATTCCTCATTTTTATGAATAGATTTTCATCTTTTTTTCTGTATGATGATTATGATAATTACCATCAATAAAGAAAAATGTACACAATTTTTTGCTTATAAAATCAATAAAATTCTTATTGGTTGTTTTCATCAAATAGTCAATATATTGATTAAAAAACAGAGAAAAAAAGTGAAAATCATTGTTCAAACACATAATTGGTTCAGAATAGATATACAAGAAAAATTGATTTTTTCTATAGAAAATGATGTCTAAATATACAAAATAAATTGACTGATTTGAATTCACAATGATTCACAAGTTGATACACATAATGGAACAATACTTAGTTTGGTCATTTAAGAATATTAATCAACAGAGACAACTATTGAAAAGACTGTAATTCTTAATTAATTTTAAACAATTCATCGGATTTTTTTTCACTGTATAAAATATAATTTTCCAAAAAAAATCAATTAAATATTCAACAACAAATTGAATTACGTTTTTTCACATTTACCCGCATGATCGGTATATATTCAATATAATGAAAAGAAGGAAAAAAAATTCGAATTGAATTAATTAATTGAACCGAAAAAAAATTGATGATGTAAACAAATTCATGTTTTAAATTAATTAGATAGAAAATAAAACAATTTATTTAAAAAAAAATTGATTGTCAATAAAGATATCTTTTTACTTAAGATTGACAAAAAAAACAACGAAGAAGAAAAAACAATTGATTATTTTTTATAATAAAACATGACAAAAACAGTAGTCTGTATCAAGAATCAATCGAGCTTGATATCATCATCATTATCATCATTTATTCAATGTATATTGTGAAATGTCTCTTATGAAATGATTTATCTAGCGAAAAAAAAGAGACTAAGAAAAAAAGAAAAGATACATCGAATGTTTTTAATCCCTTATTGTCATTTACAACGATTTTATTCTATTGTCCGTGTCGAACACATGTAAAAAACAAAAAGACCACAAAATTTACATTGTCAAATGAGCAAATGATGAGGAAAAAAATAAACACAACGATCAATTGTGTGTTCCAATAATTGCCTCATCCTTATCATTATTCGCGTTTTCAATAGGCTTGTTATATCGATTACAACAACAACAATGTTGGTTATTGTCGTTGTTTATCAGAACCAAAAAGAAAATTGATAATATGAATTAGCCAAATCGAGCGAAAACACACGATAAAGTTAAGTACGAACAACATTAAAAAGTACCTGAAATTTTTTTTCTGATTTCTATGAAATTTGTTTGAACAGAATAATGAAATTAGTTATTTTTAAACATTTCATGTTCGCAATTGAAAAGAAAAGAAAAAATATCGTTAACATTAGTTAACAAACAAAACGATAGACAAACAGTCAAACACCAAAAACTAATCAATAAAGTGAACAGATTGTTCGATTATAAAATATATTGAGGATGTTAATAATAATGATAATGATCAGGATATTGGTGCAGGACACGTTACTATGAAATTTTTTTTTTGTTGTAATAAAATCTGTGTGTTGGCAACAACAAACAAACAAATAAAAAGAAAAAAAATCAAAAATCACTGGACGACAAGAAGAATGAAAAAAAGAACAAAGATAACAAATGATTATAATTTTCTTTTTCATCATCATCTTTGGTTCGACAAACACAAAAAAAATCATTGAAAAGCTAGTAGATCAATGTGGAAAGAATGGCAAATTCCATGGCAAGAAAATAACAACAACATACGTTTATTATTATTATTATTGTCATGTGTGGTTATGTTTGATGTTTGTTTTTATGATTTCGGTTATAAAATTATCATTAATAATAATAATAATAAATGAATAGACACCTTGTTTTAAACATTTATATATAAAAATAACATGCAATAGAATGAAATAAACATTTATCTTGTTGGTTATATACGTTCAGAATATTCTTATATTCCAATAAATTTGATTAGACCTTTAGTTTTTCATTTTATTATTAGCAATTTTAACACTTTATTTTATTCAGTTTATCAATCTAAATTATAAATCAAATGATCAATTTTTTCTTGTGGATAAGAATTCTCCAATGATTATGTTTAATGGCTAGGATTCGTAACATTTTTGTTTTGTTTTGTTTTTGTTTTATTGTCTTTCGGGGATTCATCATTATCATCTCTTCCTCAACAATCATCATCATGGTAGCAAGAAAAAAAAACATGGCTATTAAATTTTATAGAAACAATAGTCATTTGGGATCAATCTAGATTCATCAATTGTATACTGTTTGAATATAATAAAAAAAAACAAGTAACAGCAAAAAACAAAATCAACTGAATGTTTGTTTTAACAATATATTGATGATGTGTTTTTAGCAGCACGGATTCCATCAAATTCTATATGTGAACACATAAAATAAACAGTTAACTTTTAGTTAACAAAAAAAAACAAACAAACAAACAAGTGAAGAATGCCTGCTGGTGCTAAAATTTTTGTTGTCGTTGTTGTTTTCGTTTCAATCAAGTTTCATTTTGATATGACCTAATGACTTAAATGAACAGAAACAAAAAAAAACTTTATTTTATACGTGTTTCAATGACTCAAAAGTTTTTGAGTATTTTATAACGGTGATAAACTAAAAATATTTTTTGAGTCACAAAATGATCCCCATAAATTATCATCTTCAAAATATAGTTTATTAGTTTTGAGTTTTTTTTTATTTTTGGCATTCCCTTCTTGAGTTACAATAAATGGCCATCAATTGCTTCATCTGACAGGGAATGGTAAAAACTTTTATTTCAAAGTGATTGCCTATCGTAACAAACAAACAAGCAGGGATTCGGTGAATAGCCCGTCAATGAAGAACTTTGAAATCAGACCATTTCAAAGAAAAAGTAGAAGAAAAAAAACTTGACAGAGTTTCACAGTTATCAGGGAATTCTAGGGAAGAAAAATTCTAAAGCCCAACACAACCAGAAACTTAATTTCAGTAGCGAAAAAAAAAAATAGAAATTCAATCATCGTAGCCGCTGTTGATGGAATGAGAAAATAACCGAATAAAAGTCGAAAAAATTATTCAATTTTTTTCCATTAATTCATTCATCATCATCCAAGTAAACGATGAAAAATAAATTCCTGGATAAACTATTAACTACTCACTAGTTATTATTTAAATCACCTTTTAGTTGTTGAATAAAAAAGATGTCGATGATTCGAGTATCCATGGACTAAGTTTCTCTCTCTCTTTCTTCTGAAACAATTATGACTTAGTGATGCTGATAAATATATTTTTTTCACTGGATAAAAATCTAAATTTTATGTCCCATGTCGTCTCCTCTATTTGGAAAAAAAATCAGTTTGGATTTAATGAATTTTTGATGTAAAGAAACAGAAAACATTAGATTCTCAAAAATCTCTTTCATTGGGTAAAAGACCAAAAAAAAAATTGATGATTGAATGAATTTTTAAATGCCCAATGGGCATTATATTCAAAAAAAAATGAAAAAATTTGACTAACTTAATGTTTGATGTCAAAATATAATCAACAGTAAAAATACATCATGAATTCTTAAACAAAAGAATTTCATTAAAATTAATCGATTTTTATTTTTACTCATGGAACACACAAGCCATAACCATCAAAATTTATATTCGTGGTGTCATAATTGTCAACAGAATTTGATGATGATGATGATGATGATGATTATAATGATGAAAAATGAAAATTATTTGTCAAAAAAATTATATTTTTTTTTCTATGAAATAAAAATGAATTCCATTAAATTAATTTTTGTTTTTTTTTCTTTCTTTCGCTCTCTCTCTCCCTTTTTGTTTTCCCTTTATATTTGATGACATACTGACATCAATTATGGTAGAATAGCTGAAAGACATTATTGAACATCATCATGAATGATCTGGATCAAATTCAAATTGAATGAAAGAAAAAAAAACAAAAGATTAATGATGATCAAAATCAATAATAATGATGATGATATGACATATAATTTAATCAAGAATGAAATAGAAGCCTAAAAAACAAACTATCAATTTTTATTATAAATAAAGTTAATGAAAGGAACTGGAAACGAACAATAATGTCGACATCAAACAACAATAATCGAAATAAATTGTTGAATGATAGTTCTATTCATTCGATAATTACATCATCATCATCAACATTACCACAAACATCAACAAATTCGGTAATGTCGACAAGTGTACCGAAAAGTTTTAATGTTCCATCACATTTTTCAATCGAACAGAATAGAAGTTATTCAATTTGTGAAATGTCTTCATTACCCGTATCATCATCGGAATCATTATCATCATCATCATCATCAGTTTTAATTAAAACACCGATATTTCGTCGAGGAACAACAGCCGGTACCGTTGACATTAGTTCATCATTATCATTATCAACATCAACAACATCAACAACAACAACGAAAACAAAATCGGCCAACATAATGTTATGTCCAATGATGTCAAGAAATTATTCATTGATTGAAAATTCACCAACATCATCATCATCAACTGGATTACAACATCAACAATCGACAATAATATCATCACATCATGATTCATCGATACGTATTGATAATAATAATGATGATGAAGATAAAATTGATCTAAAACATATTAGTATGGCATTGATGAAATTACTCTATCCAAAAGTATGTAATATATTTCTTTTTTATATATATCATTTTCACTTGAAAACAAAAATCTTTGAAAACAAAAATCAAATTCACACATGCAGAGATAATCAGAATAAAAATGTGAAATTGAGCTGACTCAGGCAAAAATAAAAATAGCAAATGAAATTGAAAAAAAAACAGTCTACTTCATCATCAAAATGAGATCGGCAAAACCGATAATAGATAACAGTAGCGATCGATTCAATAAAAAAAACCTAACAAGAATTCAGATATTGCTAATAAGAAAGAAAAAGATCGAATTCAATTTTTGGGTCGATGTCAAAGAGCACAATTGCGAACAAAGAATTTCATCTTTCTTCTTTTTATTCCTTTTTTCTATCGTGTTTTGTTATTGGTAGTTGTACCATAATCTTGTCGTCAATATACAAAATGACATTCATTTGATCGAATTTTTCGATTTATTAGAATATATTCATAACACAAAAAAAAACATGCAATCGCACCAAAACACACATATACACAATGAAAACGGAAATCAAAAGAAAAAAGAACTGATAGGAAATGTTCATCTATTTCCTGTTTCATTTTTTTCTACATGGAAAATTTCTATGATTAATATATATTGATTATAATGAAAACAAACGAAAAAAAATGTAAGATAATTACGGTTATGATTTCTTTATTTTGTCTTTATAATTTCAATACGATCCATTTATTGATTGAAAGGCTGAAAATAAAAATAAATGTTGTTGCTTGGAATAGAATAGTAATGGTAATTATTTCTCTATCATCCGATGTGTATCATTATTATTTTTTTGTTTGTTTGTTTGTTTGTTCATAATCATTATTGTTGAAACATAACAGAATTTTCAGTTTGTTACAATTATTTTATGAGAAGGGAAAAAAATTTCTATTTTTGTTAATGAAAATATAATTTCTTAATAAAAAATTAAAACAACAAAATTATAACAGCAAATATGACTAAGCTATATCTAAGAACAACGAGTAAACAATAGAAAGAATATCGAATATTTTCCTGACAAAATGTTAGCTTTTCTATTCTTATTAGTTTTTTTTAACATCACATTATTCTGAAACAATTATTAAGCAACGAAATTCAACATAAAATTCAAACGATAAGAAAATTTTGTCTAGAATGAATAATATAACAACGAAAAAAAAACACACACAGAGAGATTATGACAAACAACATAAAACAAAAAATTAATATTTGTAATCTATATTTTATTTTGAATCTCTTATTTTAGCGTAAATATCCATCGGATAAACGCTTTTTTAATAAAATTATTATTATTAACATAAAACAAAAATGACAAAAGAATGTTGCAAAAAAAAAAATTATTATTATGACGATTAATGCGTTACTCATGGAATATATGTGTCATATTCTTATAAATGTTCATCATTAGTTTTTCTTTCGTATTTTTGACTATAGGTTTATGCGACAATCATAATTTGTATCGTGTTAACATTTACCAAGCAAAAAAAAATTAATGAAAATCATATATGAACTGGAAAAAAATGTTAAATTAAAAAAATTGAATTCATTTTTTTTCTTTTCAAAATCGTAAACGATTCTTGTTTTTTTTATTAAGAATTTTTCATTTTTCTGTTTGAAATATTTAATAATGAATATGATATATACTGTCGTTGTTGTTGTTGTTGAATTTTGATGATAAAAATACAACAACAACTGAATTTAATAATATTGTCAAGAATAGTGTGTGTGTGTGTGTGTCGACCAAAAATTTTCTAACAGACAAACATTGCCATTGTTATGTTTGATTGAGATGTAAATTATGTTTGAAGAATAAAGTTACTTTCATAATAATATTATATATGCAGAATGAAAACAGCAAAAAAAACATCATAAGATTTCACGCCATTTTAAAATTGTTGGAAAGATGTTTTTTCGAATTTGTTTTTGAATATCTTTGTGTCCAAAAGTGTTAGATAAATGTCGATGTTTATTTATAGAATGAAATAAAATGATGAATTGATTACAAAGAAATGTAAAATAAATCGAATGATTATGATGATGATTATGTCACGCTCAAGAAAGAGAGAGTGATATTGTTTTGTCCATCCATAAATAAACAAAATTACCAATATATAAATGGATGACAAACAAAAAATAACTAGTCAAACGAGAAATAGCAAAAAAAACAAAACAAAAATGAATAGGTTGAATTCAACAACAACGAAAAAAAGATGAAATTTTTTGGGAAAATTTTTCCCATGAGATATTAATCGTGTCATTCGAAGTGAATTGAATGAAGATAGATATTCAATTAACTTGTGTATGTGGATAGCTGGAAATTCTGTGTGAATGCGGCTGGGTGGGTGTCCATTTGTTCGTATAGATGTGATACACCTTTTAATATTTTTTTGTTTTGTTTGTTTCTTGGAGGGATACACTTTCACACTAATTAGATCTTTTATTTCAATTTTTTTTTTTGTAGTCCAACAATGAGCTATATGACAAAAATAAAATGAGAAAAAAAACGAGTTTATTATAGACAATATATAAGTGAAAACAAGGTTTATGCGATAAAAAAAACCAATCATTAATTTTCCGCATACACAACATGTGTGTTTGAAAATCTTGTATTTCGGTATTGAAAACATTAAGTGATGATTATGATGATGATGATGATGATGATAATGACATTATTTCGGGTGTGATCCGTGCATTATTTTCTACCAAAAACATTAAGACAGGCGTTAACATGAAGATTAAAAATAATAATAATAATAAAATAGGAAAAGCGATCCAAAATCAACAAAATAAAACAAACACAGTATATGGAAAACATTCTAAAAAAATTTCAATTGTCAAATGTGCTGATGCTCAACAACAATGGTGATAAAAATGGAAAATGAAATAAAAAATTTAAATGCAGCAAGAAATTCTTATTTAGCTGCCATGAAATTGTATGAATCGTGTCGTACATCAAAATATGAATGAAAATTGAATGAATGAAAATAGCTGGAAAAAAATATTATTACATTCCAGAATATTGATGATGAACAATGATTGTATGAAATGACAAAACTGTTTTAAATTCATGAATCGATTCAATGTAGGATATTCATAGGAAGCATTAATCTATTATGATGACATTGATAAAAGAATTTTTTAGGAAAAAAAATTCAATAATCTCTGTTTGGAATTTTTTTTTTCTCCATTTCATAGTTAAATTTTTGATCAAACAGATTTTCTTTTTGCAAAATATTTATGAATTGTAAAAAAAAGATGTTCATTCCAAAATCGAATGTTGACGAAAAAGAATTTTTTTCCACTAAATATTCTTCGTTTTAGGAGAAAACTAGTGCCATCTATTGTTTGTAAATTTTATCTTTCAAGCGAAAAATATTCATTTCCTTTTCTTTTGTTCTTTTCTTTTTTTTTGTTCAATAAAGGCTTCTGATATTTTTGAAATTATTAGCAAAAATTTTCAGAATCGAAACAAATCTACATGGGATGATGTTTGGTAAGTTTTTGCAATAAATCGATATCAATTTTGATGAGAAACAAGAAATCAAATCAATTTATTTTTTGTTGTTTATTTTATTGTTTATAGTAAAAACTTTGCTGCCAAATGTTCAACTTCGACAAAATCATATGCTTCCAGTAAAGATTCATCAAGTGGATCGATCGATACTATAGAAACAAATAAATGTCTTTACATAAACAACAATACTGTATGTAGTGATGAAAACAAATTTAGTTGTTTTTTGGACGAAAAATCACATACAGTTACATATGATCATTTGGAAAATTTTACAAAATGTTTGGTGAAAAAACTTGGTCTCAATTGGGAGGAGGTAATTGTCGATATGGGTGAAAAATATGCTCGACAATGTTTGGCCATCGATTCCAAGCCATTAAATTTTATCGGTGAAAATTTGATCGAATTTCTAGTGAATATTGAAAATATACAATCGATTGCTTATAAAGAAGTTAGCCAAATGAAAGATTTTTCTAATCGTGCTTGGACACCATCACAACCTGATCTATTGCCAATCACTGTTTTTGTCAATAATTCTGAAACGAAAATTGTTGTCACATACAATATAATGGAACCAATATGTCATTTTGTTGCCTGTTTTCTTTCTGGCCTTTTTCAACGTGTAGCACGATTATTATTTAACATTATTATCCGTGTTAATGTTGAAATTGGATCGGATCAATATAAATTCTTTATAGAAAATCGTCGATCGGATGCCACTTTAGTCAATGATGATTCATTAGTTTCTCGTTATAAATCGTATCTTTTAAATCGACCGGAACAATTGCTCATGTACATACAAACATTTAAACGAGTGTTTCCATTTCATTTTGTCTGCGATCAAAATCTTCGATTTATTCAATATGGAACAGGTAATATTTTTTGTCAAGAATTTCAAATACAAAAAAAATTGAAATAACATCCATTTTATAAAGGTCTTAGCAAAATATTTGGTACACAAAATAAATTGAATGTACATATTTCCAACGTATTCAATATTGTACAGCCTAATGTGGGATTCTTTTTCGAATCAATCAGACATCGAATCAATCTTGCCTTTATCCTACGTATACGTGATAACATTTCAAATGAACATTTTCGTAGTATGGAATTACAAGGACAAATCATTGAATGTGTTGAATCGAAATGTTTATTATTTCTTGGATCACCAATCGTCAAAGGATTACAATCCTTAACTAGTCGTGGCCTTTTTTTATCAGACATTCCTATTCATGATGCGACCAGGCAAGTAATAATTTTTAATGAAAAAACATTGAATGAATGAAAATTTTTCGTACGTGATTCATTTCTTTTTTATCCATTTAGGGATATTATTTTGATTGAAGAACAATCAAGAGCACAAGAGAGTTTAAAACGTCGTATGGATAAACTTAAGGATACGATACAGAAAGCTAATCAAGCGGTCGAAATTGAACGAAGTAAAAATGTCGATCTATTAAATTTAATTTTTCCGGCCCAAGTTGCACGACGATTATGGTTAGGTAAATCGGTTGAAGCACGACAATATGATGATGTCACTATGTTGTTCTCGGATATTGTTGGATTTACGGCCATTTGTTCAACTGCCACTCCTATGGCTATCATCAATATGTTAAATGATCTGTATACACAATTCGATGTATTCTGTGGTGAAATCGATGTCTATAAGGTGAATAATATTCAAACAGATTCAATATTCTGAACGATAACGGAAATTTTTTGTTTTTTACAGACGGAAACTATCGGCGATGCTTATTGTGTTGCATCCGGTTTATATCGACAATCATCATACCATGCCGTACTAGCTGCATTCATGGCCCTGAAAATGATGGCAGCAGTGAAAAGTTTTAAGCCCAAAGATATAAACGTAGAAAAATTTAAGATGCGAATCGGCCTTCATAGTGGTTCCTGTTTGGCTGGAATTGTCGGTGTTCGAATGCCCAGGTATTGTTTATTCGGTGCTCATGTGACATTGGCCAATAAATTCGAATCCCATAGTGAGGCCCAACGAATCAACATTAGTCCAACAACTTATAGGTAAAAAAATCCTGACTACAATATTAAATTCATTCTATCTTATCCATTTTTATAATCTAGGTTGTTGCAAAAATTCCAGAATTTCAAATTCACATTACGTGATCCAAGTTGCTTGCCAAAAGAATGTCCAGCCAATCTAGAACGAATTTCTGCATTTGTTGATAGTTATCATCATCCTAAATTAGCGACTGAATTATCACAAACCAATCATATAACAAGAGCTTTGGAAGATATTAACTCATTGAACAATGATACCAATAAAAGTTGATTAATTACGAATCTAGAAAATTTGGAAAATATTCCTAACATTTCAATACACATTCAAAAATCTATTCATTTGAATGCCAAAATATTCAATCAAAGAAAACAAAACAAATCGTTTTGAGCTTGTCATGTATAATCATGATCATTTTTGTTCAAAACTTGAAGACAGGGAATTCATTTCATAATTCGAATACACCATTATGCATCATCATAATACTTCTATTATATTCGTTTTATTATATTATACAAAAAAAAACAAACATTTTTTTCAATAAATAAAATTCAATTTTTAATAGAATCAAAATCCAACCTGCCATCTAGTGTCGACGAACCAAAAAAAAAGAAACTTGAAATAATCAAAGAAAAATATTTATTAATTATTAAAATGGGTGATAGGATTCGAAAAGAAAAAGATTCAGAAAGAATAAGAAAAAAAAAATTATCAAATTACAAAATTAATCAATAATATCCAATATCGAATAGTAGACAATACAGGTTCATTATTCAAAATTGATTGAATTGTGTTAGAAAGAAATAGAGAAATTGAAAAAAATTTTAAAAATTCATCATCATTATGAAAATTTTTGTTATTTTTGTGTGATTAAAAATAATTAGTGTATAAAAATGCTAAGAATGATTCAGTTGTGATACAAAACTTTATGTATCTAAAATATAAATTCAATACAAACATTAAATTTTGTTTTTGTTTTTTTTTAGAAAAAAGGTTTTGTCTAATGAAAAAAATTGATTGATTGATCATTTCTAATGGTAGAAAAAGAATTTGAATCAAGTTTGAAAATAGGATTTTTTCAGTGTTTGTAAATTGTTTGTGTAAATATTACGAAAGTAGTGTATTGGAAGTATTTGAAGAAACATTCTTCTGTTGTGTGGACGAAAAAAATAATAATTTTTCATTTTCAAATCGTGATACTGAAACTCAGAAAAAGAATTGAATGTTGGATTTTTTTGCGTAGTTTTTTGTATTAATTAATTTTTTCTGTTCGTTTTTACATTTTTTTATTATTATTATTTTAAATTTCAAATCATATCCAAATACGACGGCAATGATGATGAAATCCGAAGACAAGTGAAGAAGACAAAAAAAACGTTGTGTATCCATCTATCATATAGTATGGATAATAATATTGTCAGGATTTTTTTTGTTTTTTTTTTCAGCCAAAAATGTTGGATGTTTTTCCACCTATAGAAAATAATTATAAAACAAAAAAATCATTAATATATCAATCATAGAAAATTTAATTATTTAATCAGTATTTATGAAGGAGTTGAACAAGAAAAAATAATGCAAATAAGATTGGTTTTGGTCATGATCGAGGAAGTTGATGATAGAGAAAATAAAATCCTAAATAATCTTTTTTCATATAGATTATGTATTTTTTGCAAAGCATCTGAGATGATTTTCATTGATTTGATCATTGTTCACTTTTTTTTGTGTGTGTGATGATCAGATCAGATTAGATTAGATCAATGTAAAATAATTCGTTAAATCGTTGATCGATCGTTGTTTATGTGTGGAGAGATTTAATGTTGCTTTTTTTATTCCATTATTCAACAAACAAACAAAATTTACTCACCTGGTGGTTGTCGAACACGGACAGGAGTATTAGGCATTGAAGCTGATCCATTCGATCCTTGATTTCGAAATAAAAGAAAAAAATTCATATAAATTGATAATGATGATGATGATCAACAATATCATACCATTCATAGATCCATTCATATTTACGGTAGCATTACCATTTCCATTGCTAGTAGGTTGTTGATGTTGAAGTTGTTGTTGTTGTTCTTCCAAAACTTCTCCGGTGATCGGATTACGACGAATCACTGTATGAATGAAATGAAATGAATAAAATTGAGAATATCAACACAGAATGATAAATCTTCGAAATTAGAAAAAGAGAATTATTTGAAATGAATGTGATTAGTTTTTTTATTCTTGTAAGTATGAATGATTGAATGAAAATGAAAAAAAAATATCATTATTTGACCACCAACAACTTGGTCATCAACCTCAAACAACAACAAAAAAATGAATGAATGAATGAATGAAAACAAACACACATATAAAACCATTGAAGTACAAAATGAAACTTTGGTTTTTGTAACTACATTCAAATAATTACAATGTCAACTTAATCAATCAAACAACCCAAAAAAAATGAAAAGTAGATTTCAACAAAACTCGAGGAAATGAAAGAGATAGAGAGAGGAAAAAACTAGATTGAAAAGTGAACTATAGCTGAACGAATGAATGCTAATTTACTGACAGCTGACACATTGAAACCATTAGACTAATGACGACGGATATAGGCATAAACAAAAACAACAACAATAACAAAATCCCAAAAGAATCCCAAAGAAAAATAAACAAAGTAGAAACAGAATCAAGCCATAGCTAATAAATATAAATCAGTTGTTATGTTGCATTTTCCCTAATGAATCCGGTCAAAAAGAAATTATCATATGTAAAACGAAGACGCCTTGACATTTGGTCAAAGTGAATTGTAGTATCGAGCAAAAAAAAAAGAAAATGCGAAATACGAATATAGTCAAGAATCTTCATCATCGTTAGTCGATATTCTTAGGCATTTTTCGTTAAGTTGGTATAGTAGTTATTTCATGTGTATGAATATGTGTGTGTGTGTGTATGTGTCAATGACCTCTGAACTACTTGAAAAGCAATGAAGAAAGCATTAAAGTTAAGTTATGGAACTTTTATTTATAAAAAGATCTTGACAGTAGAATAGATACTATTCTTAAAGAATTATATTTTTAAATTCTATTATGCTTATTATTATCATACAATGATTTTTTCAAAATATCGTCAGTGATATATTGTATTATTATAAATTTATTTAATCTAATTGATCGTATCTCGAAGGATTGATGATTAGATATTCTGGTCGACATAAAAATGATCATCATCTTATTTTGGCTTAAAAACTTATGAATTTTTCATAAATTTTTTCTTTTGTTCTTGTTTATTGATGTGTGTGTGTTCAAAACGTGCTAATGACACATATGTAGAAGATTCGAGACAACGATGATGTTCGTGCCGATTCTAGCATTTTATTATCAAAGTTTGTTTATAATAATCATCTATTGCTCTTTCTTTCTATCTCTCTCTCTTTCCTGATCTATGATGAACTTTACCAATATAGATGTCTATTCGTATGTTTAGTGATTTTTTTTAGCCGCACTTAATTTGTTTGTGGCATATTTCTATCTATAGATAAATTTTTTAGATTTATGTCTGTGCGTGTATAAATGATTGATTGCTGGGGAAAAAAACAGATTTTTTCGCTTGATTGTTGCCGGGATCGTTGATTCATTAGATGTTGTAGTGATAATATTTTCTTATAAAAATTGTCATCGTTAACACATATATTGATGACGATGATTTCGAAAATGACAAATTCCAATCAAATGATGATGGTGAAACTTGTATATTATTAGAAAAAAATCAAACAAGTAAAATGTGTAAGGATCATTTTGCTTAAAATGACAGGCTCTACAGAAAATCATTATTATCATTATTGTTATTTCGATTCAGGTTGCAATATTCTGATTATGACAGTGTTTCCTGTTCAATAACATGAAATATACACTTCTCCGAATCGTTATATGTTGATTTTGCCATTAAGTGGAATGGCTATAATGATGAGATAGTATCCATTATCAAATGTCCGTCCATTTAAATGCATCGTTAGATTTCAAGGAATTACATAAATGGTCAAAGCAATAATGTCATGATGAAAAGAAATCAAGAAAGATAGTTGTTGATTGAAAGCAAACGATACAATCATCTTTCATTTTTTTCCAGTGAAATCCATTATTCATTCATTGTGTATTGTTGTATGGTTGCAATTTTCAAGTTTCACAATTGTTCATTATTGCTTACTAAAGCAGAATTTCTTCTTTCACTGTTTTTTTCAAGTTCACAAAACAATTATGAACATCAACGAAAAAAAATCTAAGAATAAAATAAAATAAAACAGAATTAGAAAATAGAATCGAAAAATGGAAAATTTACATTTGAAAAGACTTACCGCTTCATTTCGTATGTTTGAGATACTATTTTGATTTGTCAATAATAACATTTTGAAATCCTTGTCAGTTTTTTTTGCTTATTATCTTCCGTAGAGTTTTATTCATGTCATTTTGAACCAGCTGGATCCGATATTTTTTTTATTGAATTTAAAAGGAAACTTTTTTCTCTAATATGTTTCAAACAAAAATGAAATAGTTTGCGTGTGTGTGTGTGCGTATTTTCAATGTCGATGCCCCAAGTGTACCGTTTTTACTTATATTTCTCCTATCTAAAAAAACATTCAACTCAAAAAAAAATCGAATCTCAAAAATGTAAGGGAAAAATTGAATGGTGAAAAAAAAATTAAAAATTTGTTGTGGCCAGAAAACTAATAAATTATAGCGCAATGTGTCCAATTATAGCATTTGCTTTTTTTTCTTTTTTTTCTGGTTTTATTCTCATAGATGATGATCAACACATAAGAAAATGTATGTTTGTAGATAGTAGTAGATATTCGTGGAGCCATTCAAAAGAAAAAAAAAGATTAGATCACACACACACGAAACTAGCTCCGTAATGATATTTAGATAAATTTAGTCGAAAAAAAGAAAGAAAAATGTTTATGATTGACGCTGTTATTTGCTAATATAGCCGAAACTGGACAGAATGTGTCGATGTTGATGATGATGAAAATCTCATTCGATATTCGTAAGACATCGTCTTATTATGCATCATCATTGATGTACTATTTCGACAATCATCGTTTTTCGATCCCAAAAAAAGAAACAAGAAATTTTCCCTTCATACCGATTGAATAATGTCAATCATAATCAAATCACATCATCGAATTAGATGAACAAATAATAAGGGAAGTAGAGAAAAAATTCAATTATTTCCATATGAATAAATGAAAAAAAAATGATCAAACATTAACATTGTATCCATCTGTGTGTGTGCCAATGTATTTGAATTTGATTTTTTTTTCTGATCTATCGAAACGAAAACGATCCTGACATTTAACGCCGTTATTTGTTTATTCAAATGCAAATATTGACGAAAAAAAAAATATATCTTTTATTCGGCCAGTATCAAATTGAAAATTGGAAAAAGACGAAACAGGCTTGATCGAAACAAATTGATTTTTATCCTCTTGAATTTCAAAATTTTCAATTTATCCAATATTCCAATAGTTTTGTTTTTGATTTATAAGATTTGATCATTATCATTATAAAATTTAAAATCCAAAAGTAAACATTGTATCATCACGATTTGTGATTGATGATTTTGTCGAAAGGATGTCAAAAAAAAATTGAATTGATTTTTTTTCTCGCCTAATTTAATGCATTTTCAATGTTTTTCTATGAAAACAAAAATCTTATTTCAATTATTAATACTCAACATTATGGGCGGTGAGAGTAACCGAAAGTTTTATACCATATGCACATTGATACAATTGAAATGATGAGATCAATATCATTCTAGGGATCCCCTACTATGTGATGGACATCACAAAATGATTAATAGATGACTGAATTGATGAATTTGAAATCCGTACATTGATCAACAATCCAACACCAACCACCGATTTTACCATAATACAAACAATAATCATTAGATCAAATATTTGTTAGAATTCTATAGAATGGATAGCCATTTTTTTTATAAAGTCATCATCATGATGAACATTCGAAAAAGTTTTAGTTCTCAAGAAAAATAAATCGATAAATAAAAATGAATTCAGAAACAAAAACAAAACAAAACAGAACAGAAGAAAAAGTCGTGCGTCGAGTATGTGTTTTTGTGATTAATATTCTATTCAACGAAGAAAAAAAAAGAAAAAAAACATTACAACCAAACAGATGATGTCGGTAATGTTAATATCAATCCAATGAGTAAATATTTGTATTATTTGTTCAAAAGATTCGGGAATACAAATGAATGATTTTGAGGTCGAAACTTTTGTGTGTCTATTTTTTCTTTTTCTTTCTCTTGATGACTTACTGGACAAGCGAAACAAATTTCAAAGTTATAAACATTTAAATAGCTGTTTTGTTCATGCTGTTTGTATGAATTCAAGTAATGGAATCCGTGATGGACAGCTTATAGATAGATATATAGATGGATGAATGAATGAATGAATGCATAGATAGAAAAGATAGTTAGAAACAATAGTTTTATCGACAATGTAGATGGGAAAATAAAAACATGACAGATAAAAGAGTGCGAGAAAAAAAAATGAAATGAAAAAAACACTAGCCCGCTGGGCGTTGGAACAACAACAAAAAAAAATTCAATCAATTAATTAGGAACCTTTGTGTGGTCAACGCTAATTTAATGCTATGTTTACATAGATATGGTATTGCCCATCATATAATCAAATCAATCTATTTCCATTTGGTTTATGGACTTATCTGTATATTAATAATGGATCAATCCATTCTTTTTTTTGTATATTGATAAGAATCAATTTAATCATTCATTCAGGATCAATTTGTTTCTTTTCGATTGATTTGAAACCTGATTTCGAAAAAAATTGACCATCATTAAATTAGATGATGATTTAAATTAGAAAATTATTATTCGTAGGAGTTGAATTGAATTCATTTTTTTCCGTGAAGAATATGTAAAGTAGATTGAATTGGTTTCATTATGCAAATATAACAACAACAAAAAATAAGAAAATGATGAAGATAATCCTCTTTATGATGAGAAAATCAGGAAAAACGGCAACAATGTTTCTTAGAAATTTTGATTACTTTTGGGTAATCAAAGATAGAAAAAAAAGTCAATGGATATTTGATGTGTAATGAAATTATTTTGATTTTTTTTTTACTTGAGAACATATAAAGGAAACATTTTAATGAAAATTTTTGTTTGAGTTTGAATGCCCAAAGCAAGAGTTTCAAATGAGGAAGAAACATCAATAGTACATGATTCATTATTTGAAAAAATAAATTTCTACCATCGACCACACATTCGTGGAAAGATCTTATTCAATAATAATAAAAAAAATTCGTTGATCTTATGTAGGCTTATGTAGGCTTATCACATACACACAATCCACACGTATTTGACATTAAAAAGTAGACACTTTTGATGATGGCATTTTTTTCAATCATTGATGACACCCGTCGAATGGTTAAATTCACATAAGTGTGTGTGCGTTCATAGGGCGAGGTTGAAATTATTCTGAAATGATTAGCAGCCCAGGACAAAATAAAAATTTCCAAAGTTTTTTCCTACCATTTTATGACTATGAGATCATAATGAAAATGAATTTTAGGCGAAAAAAAGCAATAAGTCATTTCTTGTTGATAGTTGATGAATGAATTCTCCTATGTATATCTATTTTTCATAGGAATTCATCTTTTCATTTCATTTCATTAAATGAATTATTATTTATTGTTTTCGTTGGTGATTTCATAATTTATATTGTGGGATAATTTGTAATAATTCAAACATATTTGAATAATAAACTTACCGTGTTCATATTTCTTGACCGATGGTGAACGAACAACAGGAGCTGGTTCCGGTTCAGCAAATATGTTTGATTTCATACGATCAACAACACGTCGTCTTGGCGATTCCAAACCTTCTGGTTGACCAAACAAACGATTTTTAGTATCTTGCAATGATCCACGTCGTGATGAAGTTGTTGATGATATTGTTGAACTTGTATCGGATTCATAGCCAAATTGTGATCCATTACCATTACCATTATGAACTGGTGTTGATGGACAGGATATAACAGAACCATCTACAGATTCGGTTTCACTAATTGAACCATTGCCATTTGCTTTGCCATTACCATTCATTGGTTGATTATCGCCGGATTGGCCAAAAATGTTATTCTCACCACCTCCTGGTGCTTTAATGATTCTATATTTGCAATAAAAAACAAATAAACAAACAATAAATAAATTTAGATTATCACTAAATACAAAATGCGGAAAACATTTCAAAAATCCGAAAAAAAATCGTAGGATGAAATAACAAATTTCCGGTTGTAATCATCAAAACAACAACAACAACAACAGTACATAATCATGATGGACACTTTGATGACATTTTCAAGTAAGTGTTAAAATAATTTTCAATTTTCTTTTCTCAATTATTGCACCCGGCAAGTTATTTTCATGAAAAAAAATAACTTGACAAGTTTATAAGAACAAAATTAGAACTAGGCTAACTGTCCAAATGAAGGGGAAAATCCAAAAAACATTTTTGAAGAACATTTAAAACTATTAAATGCTATATAGTTTACGGTACGATAAATTGCAATGATAATATGACATTTTAGACAATAATTACCAGGTCATCACTCTCCATCATCATAATTATCATCATCATTATAATCAAGTATTAACAACAACAAAAAAAAAATTATTATTAGCGATGGAAAACAGGATAGTAGAAAAAAAACTTTAATGATCATCGTGAAAATAAAGATCCAGATTGGAAAATTTTAGAAAAAAAATGATGATGAAAACATCTGGAATCGATCAACAATTATTATGTTTATACATTGAAAATCAAAGAAAAATAAGTTGATATACAATGATGATGATCTGTATCAAAAAACATATCTCACGAAAACAAAATTAACAAAAAAAAATCAGGTAATCAAAATGTTTATTGTGTCATCATCATTATTATCATATATAACCAATAAAATGAAAAAAAATTACATTTCAAAATATGTTTATATCAACAATCTGAAAATTTGAAATTTTTTTCAAAAAAAAAAAAAAAATATATAAAGATAATGGAAATGAGAATTAATCAAGATAAGGATTGATACTATTTTGAGTTTTTGTTTTTAAAGTTTACTCTTCTGACACATAAATGTTTGTTTAGAAAAAAAACAAAACATGAGATTTCAATGAAAAATCACGAATTCAACAAAAAAAATTTTTTTTATTCTAAAGGGATAATAATGATTTGATAAGATCAGAAATGAATTAATAAAAATAAATCGAAAGGTCAGCCTTGATTTGTTTACAATTTTATTAACGATCTTTACCATGAATGTTTGTTTGTTTTTGGATGATGATAATATTTGAAAAATCTTTTTCAACGCGGTTATGATGATGGTTATGGATATTAAAAAAGGAAAAAAATGATGAAATTTAGTGCAGCAGTCGATTCAAATCTGATTATTACCAATTATAGAGAATTCTAATGATGTCAATTCTTTTTGGATAATACAATAGATAATTGGAAATGAAAAGAGAAAAGAAAAAACAACCGTTATGAGATTCATCAAAGTTAAAGAGATTATGATTTTGTTCAGGATACTTTTTTTTTCTTCAGTGCAATTATTATGGCAAGAATATAATGATGAGAATCAAAAATCGAAAATAATTGGTAATCGTTCCTCATTTTCAGAACAAATAATATGCAGGCCAAAAATCATTGCAGGAACAAATTGAAAAAAGAAAATTAATCCAAATATGTATTGAGTTTAGTGAAAGAAAAAAAAACAAAAATTTGTGATGACTTTTCAGAATTTCGATGATCTTTTTTAAAAAAAAAATTGTCGATCAATGCTATTTGAAACGATGAGAAACATGAATCAGCAATTGATAGATTGATCGATTGATTTGTTTCATTGAGAAAAAAAAAATTCAAACATATGCTATCAAGAAATTTTGATAATCGATTTTTGTTGTTGTTGTTGTTTAAATTTTTTTTTATATTTTTCAATCAATAATGACCCATAACAACCGAAAATCATATCAAGATCAGAACAAACAAATGGAATAATCGTAGAAATAAAATTACCTTCATCATTATCATCATCAACTTGAATGAATGAATAAGGAAAAACAATGGGTAAACAAACGAATAGAGCAAAAAAAAAATTCAATCAAATGATTCATTCAGGCGCACAGAAATGATCAAAAAAGAATGGGAAAAAATTAATTACTGAATTCGCCATCATTATCATCATCCTCATCATCATCATCATCGTGATCATCATTTGAATGTCTATATGAAAATATTTTCATCTTTACTAGCAGTGAATGACAGAATCGATATCCAAATTGAAAAAGAGAGAGAAAAATATATATTTTCTTTTGATTTAACATTTACAATTGAAAAAAATAATTTATAATCCATTGAATCCGGGCATGTTGAGCATGTACATGTCAGATGTTCTATTTTATTTTTTTTATTTGATGCTCAATTTGAATCAAATTACATTCGGAAACAAAGATAACAAAGAAAAGAAAAATGTAATAGACAAGCAAAGCAAACAGAAGAAGGATAAAATTCTTTCATATACACAAACAAAAAAAATGATTCGCCTATTTCATCTTTGCGGTCGATTGATTTCAACATTAAATTGGTATTTGCTGTAAAGCTTCTTTTCTTTTCATTTTTTCTCTATACACGATGAAAACTGATTTTTATTTTATTCAACAACAATATACATTGAATTTTTTTTTGACGTTATCATTTGATTGTGATCAGTGAAATATGGATAAATTATGTAGGCAAAAGAAAAAAAAATTGGAAAACATAAGAAATCATTTGTATACAAAACTGGTAGTTAGGTATCGAACAAGATACAAACTAAACAAACCAGAAAACATATATTGACAAAATTTTGTCAATGATATTTGATTGAATGATTATTCCTATTTGTGACATTTGGAGGTAATATAAGATGAAAATTTTTCTTTTGAATCAAATTTATTTAGCATTCAATAAATTTTCTTGACATATTGATAACTTGAAATTCAACCGAATGTATGAAAGAGGGGAAAAAGGCGAAACCACTTGTTTTTGTTTTGTTTTTTCCCACCATTACCATTATCATCATCATCAGTACATATTTGAATTTGTACGAATCGAACGAATATATTTGTATGATGGAGGTCATAAAACAATGTTGAAATTTATATTCGTATACCGACTATGAAAATAGAATGTTCAAATGGATTCACCGATTTTTGAATGTAAGTATGGTTGAACCGTTTTTTTTCTTTCATCTTTTAATGGATCAATGTTGGAACAGTACAACGTTTGCAATGAACGCATTCAAATAACACACACGCACACCACATTCAAGGGTCACAGTCGAAAACGAATAGAAAAAAACGAATGAGTCATCATCAACATAATGATTCGGCATAAAAATTTTAGGGGCTTTATTTGGTTCATTCATGCAATTCGGGTATTCTCAAGGACTTTCGGATTTCTGAACAAAACCAGGAGCCAACGAAGCAACAACAAGCAAAGCGAAGGCGAAAACAGATTATCTAAGCATAATATAATTTTATTAAAAATATATACAGTAAAACAAACAATTTCAAAATGATTTTCGTATTTTTCGCATCTTGCTCAATAAATTAATAATTAGGATTTAATTTTCAATACACCGTTAAGCGTATTTCGTTTGCAAAAACAATTTTCATTTTCCGCATCAAATAGAAAATGACGCCCGCTTGAATGAAAATTGAATTGATAAATCTTGATAAGCTTTGCTTACACAAAACACAAATGGAATGGTCTAATTCCATTTTATTATTATTATTATTATCGTCATGATGTTTATCGTATTTAATATATATTTAATGTTGGACAATAACGTAACAAAATTATTCAAACAAAAAGTCAAGAATGAATGAATAAATAAATAAAATGGTAACAAAGAATTGCAAAGAGTTGAAAATGACATAAGTACAATCAAATTGGATATCATCACGTCATTGAATGAATGATTGATAAAATTAAAAGAGAATCTATTGTTTGTTTGTTTGTCATTGAAAAGAATTCAAGTTTGAAAGGCAAAAGATGAAGAGAAGGGGAGAAAAAAAACGGCATCATTAATTTCAATTTAGATCAACAAGAATATATCGAAGAAAAGAAGCAGATAAAATTTTATAATGATTGAAAAGAAAATGAAAAAAAAAATTCTTCCATTATAATCAAGAATAAGAGCCATTATTTAAAGAAGAAAACCATTCAAAAAGAGACCATTTATGAAACAACAAAGGTGACACAATAGACACATCTATTCTTTATCGGAAAATTGATCTGACCGTAGATCAATGATTGAAAATCCTGATGACAATGAAAAAACACACACACACTCTAGCTGAATGGTCTGCAAATTCCTTAACGCTATACTCCATCTAAACAATTTTGATTGTATTGAATACAAATGATTCACTGGAAAATTTTTTTCAATGATGGCCAACCAACAAAAAAAAACACATTAACAACCAGAATAATGATGACTTAAATGACTCATATCCAATATAAATTCTATTAGGTCTATGAGTTGAATGGCCTAGCTCATTCAATTTTATGGTATTTATATAACAGACGAAAATGTTTTAAGTCCCCAAGTAACGGTAAAAAAATAGGTATGTCCAAAATCAGAAAAAAAAGAGAGCTTTATCAAAAAATAAAATAACATACATAGGAATGGAATAAAAAATCAATAAGTCAATGAGTCACACACATCAACCAGATTCTGTGTTTGTTTTTTTTGCCAGATAAAAAAGATCTTATTTAACAAGTTATATTCATAATTAAAAGAATTACAACTATGTAAAAAAATTCTTTCATTTCATTAAAATTGATAAAGATGAAATGAACATAAAAAGTTTCCAACAATATAAACAATAGTTTTATAGAATTTGTTAGAAAATTTTCCGGAAAAGAATTTTATGAAATGTTTCCTTCCTGAATACGTTTTTGTTATGGTAACGTAACCACACACATCTTTTGAATTCTTCAATTAGAAAAGTATGGAAGAATGAAAACGAACGAAAAAAAAAATTTGAAAAACGGAAGCAAAATTGTTGTTGGCATTTGTTAATAGAAGAAAAAAAGAACGAACAAAAGATTCGAAAACAAGAATCATTACTATCATCATCATGTCATTAAATGGACTCAATATGGAAGGGCAAAAATAATTTTTCAAGTTTGATACAATGTGGCCAACTTTTGCAAAGAATTGTGTTGGGATTATTAAATGGGAATGGCTGGTTAGTTGATGATGATGATGATAATGATTGCTGTGATTAAGGTTTGAAATTTTTTTGTTTTTTCTCTCTCATTCTATGCACTTAGGATCTGGTGTTGTTACATATGTATGTATGTTTTCTTCCATGACCACAATCATTATCATCAATTGGAAGTAGCTGAATTTATTTTGATTCACAATGGTGTAAAGAAAAAAAAATATTTTGGACTGCTACAAAAATGAGAACAAAAAACAATAACATTAATGATTGAGAATCTTTAATGATGGTGAGGAAATGAACGTCAGCCGTAATTATTACCGGCTAAGTAAGAAGTAGGAACAAAAATTTGAAATTTTTCTTTTTCATGCTTTTAATGAAATGCAAAATGTTTTTTGTTGTGTAATATTATGGTTATTTCACAAGTGTATTTTATGCTAATGGAGAGGTCATTTAAATGTCATCGCATTCATTAATTTTCTGTTTTGTTTTTTGTTTAACCTCTTCTATTTCAAATAATGATGATGGGGAAATTCGGAAAATGAAAAAAAATACCCGAATAGATTTGAATCCGAAATTTGTACATCAAAAAAAAGTCGATAATATTCTTTGATTATGCAAGAAAAAATGTTGATGAAAACATTTAGCAAAAGAAAAAACTAATTATAAAGATATTAAAAGATTTAAATAACATTTTTTCTTTACAATAATTCTTTTATAATTTGAATCGTTCACAAGTTGTCATTCATAATGATCATCGACAATGAAACAAAAAAAAAACAACAACTCAAAAGTATTCAACCGGCTGAACAATTTAACTGTTAAGCAATTATTAATTCGTCATTATGTCTTGTGTGTGTTTCGTATGTAAAAAAAGAAAGAAAAAATATTATCAATTCCCATCATTTCAATATTCTTTTCTATAAATGGCTGAATCAACCGACCAATAAGAAAATAACAAGAAAACAGTGCAGTTCAAGGACTGTTTTTTTTTCTGGTACAATCATTACCAAATTCGTGTGCGAAAATCATCATAATCATAATCATCAACAAATGAATTATAACCTCAAGAAAATTGTAAACTAAAATTAAATCATCAACAGAAACATGGTTGTGAAAAAAAATAGTAACAAAAGTTAAAAAATCATTATCATCCATTTGTATTTCTCTCTTTTTCCACCAAGACAAAAATCTCACGTAACTCGATCATCAAGTGACAATAATTAAAAATTGAAAAAAAAAGAAAATTAAATTAAAAAGTTGATTAAAATGCTTTATTTTTGTAAATTATTCTCAAAGAATGTAATAAAATTTCTGAAAAAAAATTGAGAAACTGAAAAAACTAAATGACTTTCTGAAGCATCAGAATAGAAGATAAATAAAATTAAAATGCACACAAACCTCTTTCCTCGACCAACTTTATCGAGTTCAACATGTCGGAAATCATAAATGGATGGCATTATGAGTTGTTTTGTTTGTTTGTTTGTTTGTTTGACAACGATATAATAAGTGTGTGTGGATAAATTTTAGTAGAACAAAAAAAAAACAATCGCAATTCGATAAAAAACAAAGATTGATGGTGAGAATGAGAAAGATGAATCGATCGATGTAGTATATATGAGGAATTTATAATAATAAAAAATTTAAAGGTAAAGTAATAAAAAAAAACTATGATGAGGAATTTGGCAGTCCGGTTCAAATGATGGTACAAGTGGGCAATTGAAAATATAATAGTCGACAACAAACAAAAATATATTTGAAATATCAAGATAGGAGATGATTTGAATATTGAATAAAACAACACTCGAATCACAAATAATACAGAAACATAAACAAAATTACACGAATAACGGTGCAACAAAAATTGGCCAGAAATGATGAGAATAAATAATTAATCAATTAATTTTTTTTTCGATAAAAAGAACAATAGATCAAAATCTTTGAGAAAAAAACCGATTGAATTATTATTAATGATTGATGATGATCAACACTTTAATTTGATCATTTGATAAAAACCGGCAAAATGAATAGAAAATAAAAACTAGTCGATCCTGAACAATGAATGAAACGAACCGAACCGTATAAGAATCAACAATGAAATGAATCTATTTTGTTAATCATCGTATTCAATTTATATCAGGCGTCTGGTTTTGGCGTTTTTTTTCTGGTGTGGTTGTTGTTGTTGCTGTTCGGTCTCTCTTAACAACATGAATCTTGTTTCTGTTCATTTTACACATTATGAAATGCTTCATATCTTTTTTCTCTCTTCTTCCTTCTTATTATCGAATATAAACTATTCAAAATAATAGCAGCTAGCGGTACATGAGATCGAATCAAGTACATCACATACAGAAAAAAATTAAATGAAAATCCAACTATTCACATTACGAATAGGGAAATATAAAAAAGCAAAATATCCAACCAAACAAAAAAAGAGAGAATCATTACACAGATACACATGAAACATTGATCGGATACTGAACCATACAAGGATGGTTGAATGAATCAATGAATGAATGAGAGAAATATAGTCTGCATGTATTTTATAGAGATATCCCAAACAAACAAACAAACAACTAGCAGTACGTTGCTCCCAAACACAAATATATATAGCGAATGATCCTTAAATTATCATTATATTAGGCTTTTTTCAAAAATAAGAAAAAAATGAACCATCAAATGGATGTGTGAAGAGTATGAGATACTCTTCAGGAAAAAAAAATCAAAACTAAAAAAAGCTGTTGCATTTTGTTTTTGCTGTCGCTAATAATTATGAAAATTACCAAAATTATTGAATTTTATTTGTTAGCAAGAAAAAATAACGATCCAAGTAAATTGATATTGGTATGAAATTCAAAAAACAAAAAATTGTTGTTGAGCGTTACAAAACTCATTAAAGAAAGGATGGATATTTATATTTTTTTTATTAGTTCATTTGAAAAATAACAAGAAATTTGAAACCACAAAAGTTTGTTTTTTTTTCATTGTATTCTTTATTCGATATACACACAATGTTGATGAATATCATCCAAAGAATCGTATTTATCATCATCATCATTTTATAATGATAGGTAATATGAAACTTATAACCATCATTATGGTTAATTTATTAGGAGACAAATTCATTTTATTATTAGTTGTTGTTTTTTTTGATTCATTTGAATATGAATATATAGTATCTATTCTTCAATTGTATAAATAGATAAAGCCATATAAATTTATGATTTGTATCATCTCCAAAAAAAAACAACAGCATTGAACAGAAACATTTAATTCAAGTGAAATTTATACATAACCACAACTAATGGGATTCCAATTAAGTATCCAAAAATAAAAATATAATGTATATTCTACGCCCATTCATGATGATATTTTTACAAATATAATCGGAAACCATATACGAAGACCACACTGAATTTTTTTATTATTATTAGAGAATGTTTTCGTGCGTGCATTTTTGTTTTTGTTTTGTTTGTTTGATCCCAGGGACATCATGCAACACACACACACCCAACACAAACATTGTAATCATTGAATTAGACAAAAGAATCATCTGTTTGGGTTTATGTTTTTTGAGTCTGGTTGTTATTGCAATGTTGGTCAAGATATTTACACAAATATAACAACAGGAACCTAATTTTCAGAGGTCAATAATAACAATAGCCTTAACAGTAGGGAAATTATTTGGAAAAAATTGTGTGTGTGTGTGTTTGTTTCATTGATTATTGTTTGAAATTTCGGGTCAAAAATTGTTGAGTACGTATGTATACAAAAACCGCATAAAAGGAAAGTTGATATAAACACATCATTGAATAAAGCGAGAGAGTGAAAATTCTACAAACACACATTGTATTCAAAACTAGGATTGTAAGTACTAGAAATGCATACAGAATATAAATATGAGAGAGTAAGAGACAAATAAACAAATCCCTAAACCAGAAAATTCTACAATGAAAAAAACCATTCATTTTTGTTTTGTTTTGTTTAAGTCAAAAATTGAACCAAATATTTATCGAGGGGGAAATAAACCATCTGGTTTTCATATTTTTTTTCTGAAATTTTTTTTTGAAAAAATGGTTTATTTTTCAATGGAATAAGAGAAAAGAAATTCTAAATAAAATGTGTTGGTTGGTTGAATGATTCTCAAATTACCAATTAATATATCAAAGTAATGATTCATAGTTAGTTACATATATTAGACTATGGGGAATAATTTTTTTGTTCAGAAAAACCTAGCCGGGATTATTTGATTCAGTTTTTTTTTGGTGAAAAAGAACATTATTGAAAAGCAAAACCAATGTCATGATTCGATACTCATGAATAATTCTATATATTTTTCAATAAATTTTTTTCCCCAATAAGTATTATGGAAAAATCTAAATTATTTAATAAATGGAAAACATGATGCAACAAAACAAAAAATGAATGAACAAAAACATAAGAGATTATTTATCTAAAGCACCTATTTTACAAAAAAAAATGACCAATATCGATACAAGTTTTGTGTGATGAAAATATATAGTTTCCGAATGTTACTGAATAAAATCCTGACTCACGGTTTCTATCAACATGATGTGTGTGTGTGTGATGTGGGTGTGGGTGAAGAAGATTATTTTTACCCCATTAGTTTTTCTACCAATCACCCAATGTATTCATTAGGTAAATCCTAACAAGTTGTATAACACGATTTTTTTTTGTAACTCTAATAATGAAATAACCGTGATCACTTGGCTAATTTATTAATTCATTTATAAATTAACCGAAATGTATGAAAATCGGTAATGAAAAATAAAATTTAAAATCTTTTTTCTTATTTATTTCATTAATTATGATCGATGAATAATCTTCACGATTGTAATATTACTTGCCAATAAAAAAATGTGTTTTATGAATTAATTTTTAAATTTAATTATAATTATAATTTGATCAAATCCATAATTGAACATAATAATCATTATTATTTAGATATTGAATTAAACATGTAATGAAATTAGTATCATAAAGGGTGAGAAAATGATTTTTTTTTTTGGAAGCAACATCATATTAGCATCATTATGATCAATAGCTAATAGTGAGCAATCAACTAATGATAAAAAATCCTTTTTCTTTTGATGATTTATCATGATGTGAAGAAAAATATTATTCAATCGTTTTTTTTAAGTTATGTGAACAAGAGTCTTGACTTGAATTTACTAACTAATATACACAATCACACATAAACATTCTAAACACGAATTGTATGGATAAATATTAACAAAGTAATTGAATCATTCAAATATTATGGCCTAAAATATTTTTTCTGATACTTGATATTGTGAATGAAGAACAAATATTACTGTGATCATCATCATCATCATGTTGTATCATCATCTCCTTGAAATATTTAAACATATACACAGATATCACAAACAAAGGGTGAGAATTCCGAAAGAAATGGTCAATTGAATATAACAGAGAACAAACTTATTACGGAAATCAGACAGATCTATCATGGTTTTCCAAAAAAGGAGCAAAAGGAGGCCTTTCACACAACATCACATATATTATTATCAATATTAAAAAAGGATTCCTGTTGGTTTTTGGACAATTACTGAGCTTAAACGATCAAACAATCAAAAGGAAAATAATCCTTGATTGATGGATTTAATTACGAATAAAATATCATCATTATTATTATTACTGTTGGCAAGAACAAAAGATTTTAAATTGTTTATTGAATTTAATCATCTTGAAATTTTTGATCTATTGAAAAAAAATAAATATTCTTTATTTATTTCAACAAATAATCCTTTTTTAATTTGAAAACTGGGCAAAGACCGAAATAAAAATCCATCATTCAAAATTGCCCACACATATAATGATCAAAAAAATTTTATTTATTGTTAAAGTGATTGTTGGTTGACAGATTTATGTTCACCATTTTATTAATGTTGATTGTTGACAAAATAAATTAAAATATGTTCATGATCTTATAATCTTATTGCTATTTGCTAAAAAATAACGGATTTTTTTTGATGATAAAATGAAGAAAAAACTTTCTAATAAATTTTTCGTTTTTTATTCAACATAACAGTGATAACCTTTGACGATGAACTGTGAACGTTGGACGTTGGAATCCATAAAAGTGACCATACGAATTTTTTCGGAAAATTTTCCGAAAATTGATCATTTCGATTATAATGCAAAAAATATTGATTTGTATGAGATGGATTTTTCAAATAATGATTCCTGTCGGGTCAAATCATTCGAATCAATTATTTTGTATTGTTTCAAATCATTTGATTATTATCATTATAATGGTAAACAGCAGTGGCAGCAGGTCAATGAAATGGACAAGTAAAATATTTTAGCATCTATACACAATGCAATCAAAAAAGTATATATCTTAAGGGGGTTGTCAATCAAATCATTACATATTTTTTTCAAAAGACAGCTATCAAAATTTTCAATTCGTGATTCAACTCAATTCCAATAATAAAAATGATAATGTTCTTTTTTTGTTGTTGTTGCCTTCAAATCATTTCACCCTGTTTGTTTGAATGGTGAATGAACAAACAAACAAACAAACAAAACATAGAGATTACTTTTTTCCCTTTTAGTTTGATTTCCTATCAAACTGAAAATATTTTCAATTTCTAAAAACAGTCATAAGATTATGAAATGAAGATAAAATTTTCAGTGAAAAAAAAATCTCCAAAGAAAAATGAAACTTTTTTTCCCGAAAAAAGCATTTTCATTTGTTTGCCATTTTCTAGTAACTACTAGTTTTGGTTGTTGTGTGTGATAGCAAAATTCTGTTGACATGACATGA